CCCCCAAAACCCCAAAACCCCAAAACCCCGTAAGAGAATTATATGTAAATTAGCTGATTTTAGACAATAATAATAATTAGATTTAAATTAACATTATAATCAAACATGCAGAGAGGTAGAGCAGCTAATGATAGCTCCATAGCTCCCTTAATATTCCCAGACATCAAGTAAAAGTAAGTAATATTCATACTTCAACATTTGATTCATTCCTTATACCTTTATATTCTATGTATTTAACTTAGTCTCATAGATTGCCAAAGGACTATAACAAGGATAACAAGTAAAAGATAAAGATGAAAGAATTTGAACTTTAACAGAAATAGGAAGAGGAAAAAAACTAGCCTAAAAGTATAATATATCCCCTGTCCTATATATTTGCCTAAACATTTATTTAGAGGGAGAATGGAAGATGAAAAGATTCCAAAGCGTTGATCCCAAAGTCCAGAATGCTGCAGTAATTTATTAAAGAATTAAATATATGAATTTCATAGATAAAGGAAAGTGGAAGAAATAACGGTGGAAAAGATAGCTATAACAATGGCAATGGGGGTGATAACTCACGTATTATGAACTAAAAAGAGAATCAATTCGATCAGCAATATAACTAGCCAATTCATCGATCAAATAGTAAAGGTCCAGCCTCTATTCAGATGGACATGGGTGGAAGACAAAATTAATCTAAGCCTGTATTGATGCCGACACAAAACAGATAAAATAGTTAATTGAACATTCATAGCAATGACAGCCAGTAGTATGACTATCAGATCCCTTTAAAGGATAATAAAGTGGCAATTACCAACAGGAATTAAAGAAAAGCAGTTAATCTGACTGCTGAAAATATATTCTCAGCTACAGATGACTATCAGCCTTCCCGTGTAGTAACTTACGACGATACCACGCTTGTATCAGTTCAAGAAAACTAATTGAAAAATCCTCATAATCTATTAAGTAGTCAGAGAAATCTCCCTCCATAGTAGCCCAAGAGATAAAATCTGCCACCTTAACACCCACAGACTACAGTCAATTCAAACAGACCACCTGTACACTAACAACCTAAAAGAGAGATATAGAGTTAAAATTAAACTGAATAGAGGCCTTAGCATGTCAACAAGTCAGATAATAAGAACTATATTCATGATAACATTAATGGAGTGGTAAATGTGAAGTAGAGCAGTAAACTAGGTAGGAAGGACACAGGATCAAAGTCACCAACTTCAAAGCATAAGGAATTCGGAAAGGTACCTAACTACCTGAACAAAATGCAGAAGTAAAAAGATGAGGAAATTGAAAGAAGACGGCAAGAAGAGGAGGAGTCTAAGCTTCCACCAGGCACAAGACTCATGCCAGAAGATGAAAGACTGAGAACTTTAGAGGATCTACATCAAACCAAGAAAGATATCATTAATATGCTAGAAAAGATGCCACTAGCAAACTAGAGCATGGCTTTGGTGAAGAAAAAGAGAGAGATGGAAGATAAACTTACGAGAATTGAAAAAGCAATTGAAACCTTTTCAAAGAAAATTGTTTATGTAGCCATATGATATGATTAGCAGAACTGATATAGAGATTAATGGCTAATATTTTTTGAAAATGCTCGCATGGACCAGTGTGTCTTAATATATTTATAGCATTATTTAATGCTTCTAATTAACTTAACTGCTTAGACATCCACTAGAGTATAAACTTTTGATTTTATATTTGTGAATTATATATAATCAATTAATAATTAATATTATTGTAGAATAATGTCAAATTGGGCTGAAAATCCACAACACTAAAAGCAATCTCTGATGTCCTACAGCTTGCCATAACTATTGTTCCAAGAGTGCCACAACTATTGCGTGAACTTTGCCGCTATAAGAGTTGCTCAAAGCCAACCAGAAATTGCCTGCCTTGCCAACTGCCAGGCCAAGACTTACAAAGCTTTCAACTTATACATGGAGGTGCAAACTAGATTCGCTGCCAGCAAGTCAATCAGATCCTACGTTGACGTTTCCAACTTCACTGGCATGGAGATCGAGCACCAACACGATACATCAAGTCAGATTCCTCACCTCAACGACGGCCATGTCAATATGAGTGCTCATGAAGATTTCTTCAATAATGTCGAGGAAGCAACTGAGTCTATCAAAAGAGAAGCACTGTAATGAGAAATATAAAGAGATGGAAGGGAGAAATGATGATGGTTTTAAATTATCATGGTATCTCAGAAGTCCTTAAATCAGAGCAAATACTGCTAGTGTATTAGTCTATGTCAATGGATTGATAAAAGCAGTCTTTATTTAATTTAAATAAATAGCTAAGTATTATCATCTTCTCATTCTTTCTTATAAGTTTTAAGACTTCATTAAATTAATAGCATGTTTCAATTGATTTAATTAATAAATTTGTATTAAGAGATTATGTTAAATTATCTAAAATTATTCATATGTAAAGTTAAATTATTTTGCTGATGTAATTCACACGATACCTATTATTACTTAAAAGTGTTAAAAATATCGTCAAAATGAACTTCAAGTTTTGAACCTTTTACTCACATTCAAATATGCGAGCTTAGATCCAATACTTCATATGAATAGTATTGCAAATCAATTTATATCATAATTACTTCGGATCATCTGTAAATTTATATTCATTCACTAAAAATCTTCCTCACTTCTCTAACTGCCAGCAAAACTATCATATTGCAAATGATCAAACTTCATTACAGCTGGAGAAGTGTTGCTTATTTGCTTCATTCTATTAGCTGATATTTCTGCGTCAGTTAGGATGAAATTACCTCCAAATGCTGCTGTCATTGCCATATTGTTATTAGTAGTTAGAGATTGATATGTATTACTCAAACCTAGTGGATTAACAGGAGATCCTAAGAAAAATGGCGTGGAAGCTTCCTTCAAAGCTGAGTTACTATTAAACTATGTTGCCTTCACAGTATCATCATTAGACTGAATACTTTCAAAGTCTTTATTTCCATTTTAAGTAGGCTTAACATTAAAGTAGTAGAGAGGTTACATCTCTTCCAATATCAAATTTTGCACCTTATTTTTCCTAGTCTTAACAACCATGCTTGAACTGCTCTGGTCACCACCATCATCATCTATATACTCATCTAAACCCATTGCTAAATCCTTATTTTACATGTTATCATCTCTCAAGTCAATCATCATTTCATCCTAAATGTCTCTGTCTAGACTGACAACATCCTCCCTCTCAATCGTAGGGTTTTTAAGTTGAATTCTTATTTCAATGTCTGGTTGATAATGGTACCGATTATTACTTGAGTTCGTTATATTGCCTTAAGCATATGACTACTTATCTGCTGATTCAGGATTCTCTACATCTGAGAAATCATCTGAAGGCGCCATTATTAGTTATAAGTTAGGAGTGTTAATTACTAATTAATTGTCTAGAATTTAGTCTCTTCTGAGTTTGATTTAAGGATCAGATGACTCAATCTAATCATTAAAGTTGCTTATTTCTATAGTATCGTTGTTCAAATCAGTCTCAATAGTTTGAGTTATTTCTAAGAAGCCTTTATTTTCAGATATCTCATCCTCAAGGGTATCATTTTCATCAATAATTTTTGTGATGCAGTAATTCTAAGTCTTACTCAAAACCTGCAATTACTTAATGCTCCCACTATTACCAACTCCAGTGCCCTTTGATTACTATTTCTAAGATTTAATCTTATCAATAGAAGTGCTATTCAAATCCTCAACTTAATTTTATTGCTTTTTAAGTAGCTTTAATAGTTTATCTCTTGCCTCTTCTTTGCTGCCCAGCTTGTGCTATGATTGTTAATTTTGCAACTGCTATGGATTCATGATCTCTCCACCCATTCTCATTGGTAGATTTATCGTAATATTTGTCTTTTGGATTGGCTACTACTATCTTTCCTGCACAGGCAATAAGTCATTATTCATCCTAGAGTTGTGTTGAGCCTTAGTACTGTTATTAACAGCTATAAATTTTCCTCTCATATTTTAAGGCTATTACTATTTTTTATTCTAAGCATCATTGTGCGATTTATTTAAGAAATTATTGGTATTATGATTGTTTGTGGTTGAATTGTGAATATTGATGTCGTAGTTGTTGTTCTGGACTATCATTAAGACTCTTGTTTGGTCAATGGGAGATTACTCTGACATTTTTCTATTAATTTAGCTTAGGTTCCTTGATATGCTATTATTTGAAATTGGATAGGCTTATTAAGAAGGAGATATGAAGTTATTCTAGTTTTATTGGGATAAAGGCTGATAACTAAACTTTTTCTTATTAAATAAGCTATCAATTTATTTAGTTAAATTCAGCGATGCCTAAATATACTCTTCTGAATGCTAATGTAAATTTGATTGCTAGGACTACTACCCCATCATTAAGTTATTCAGCTATGCTTGCTTTGAGTTATTTCCAAATATCTTTTGAGGAGATTTAGACCTGCTTTAAAGCATGTTATCATACGGAAAGTAATTTTAAGTAATTTTTTGTTAATTATTGTGAGATTGCTAGTTACTTTACTTGATAAGTATAGCCGATTATGTGCTTGGGTTGCCTGCTGTGGAGGGCTTTATTTTCCTTTTTTAGTGAATGTATTGATTTGCCGAGTTATTATTGCTGTGCTAAGGATTCTAATGAGTTTGGAAAATCGGATATTCTTTATTTGATCCTGGATGCTGCTATTGTAACTGATTTTTAAGATAGATATTATGTATCTTTTATAACTTCTTATCATTCCTTAAACTTAGATCATTAGCAGTTATAAGTGGAGATTTTGATAGTCTATTTATAGATGAATTGTTTAAAGTTGACTATCTCTAGATAAACATTGTGTCTCGCGGAACGCTATTGGAATTTTCTGGTTTCTCAAGGGGCTCGAATAGATTCGCTATGTTCTTATTATTTATTGCACTATCTGCTTTTAGATTTTTATTTAGGAAAATATCGCCTTTATTGATAGGTTTACTAGAAAGCTATTAATTTTGGATTTGCCCCTGATTTCTTGTCCCTAGAGGAGATCGACTTAACCCACTTCTTTTAATATCCTGAGTTTTATTCATGATAATCTCTCTATAAGGTGATTCCCCTCTATTATAGCTAAAATTTTAAGTATAATTCTGAATCCCCTGAATACTGTTATTTCGCGAGGCTATCGTACCTTGCACATTTATGAACTTTTTCAAACTATTATTAGCGCTTCCGACTATACTATTTCCCTGCATTGGCATTTGCAGAGGATTCAAATTCTGACTGCCATTGTCATTCCTAAGTTACTACTATTGCTATTGTTATAAACTAGATACATTAGCTAGTAGGTTACCACTAGCTGAGTTAATCTTATCATGCTAGATATATGTAATTTATTGGCTTCCATTGCTATTATTCGCTTAATTTTATTGTGAGTCAATGGTATTTTTACTGGCTTTACTGCTGCTCCCAATCAGGTATAAACCCTTCTAAGAAGCAATCTTAGAGTTCTAGACTGGCGCCGAGTTAATTAAAGATAGTATCTGCTGGCTCTTCTTAGACAGCTAAGCCTGCTTTTTTCTCTCATTCATAGAAATGTTATTCGCTAAGTTCGCAGCATTATTGTTATTATAATTGTTGTTCAACATGTTTGATTTAATGATGCTCGCCTTACTATAATTCCCAAAATCTTATATAATATTTAATTTATTAAATATAATTTAATTGATTTGAAAATGAATCAACAAATGGCTGGAGGAAATGGAAATTCAGGAGGAATTCCACACCATCACATGGGATAAATGAGTGGAGGCCACGGGTACCAGTAAATGGGATAGAAAGATGAGTCTATTTAGCTGTTCAGTGCTGAAGTTTAAAGAAATCCATCATGTATATTCTGTAAGTCAATTTAATACCGTTATGGATTCATTTTTAGTCGGTAATATTCCATATGATGCAACAGATCAAGATCTCAAAGAGACTCTAAACTTAGCAGGACCTTTTAAGGAATTTAGGCTAAAGATTGACTAGAAATCCTAATAGCCTAAAGGGTTTGGATTTTGTGAGTATAAAGACCCAGATATTGCAGCTTCAGCTCTTAGAAATCTAAATAAGTCGGAGATAAATGGACGTAATCTTAAGGTTGACTATGCCTCAGACAATAAGAACGGTACTAATCTCAAGGAGGAGGATGTAAAGTTCAGAGACAAGGGTGAGATCGTAAACCTAAAGGGAGACTATGTAAATGACCATGAATCATCAGTAGAGGAAATCTTGAATTCTTTAAGCACTGAGTAGGAGTAGTTATTGCTCTATGGAATAAAAGAAATATATGAGATGAAGAGTGCAGAGAATCCCAGAATTTGTGATCAGATGATTGAAAATTTGGCTTAAGATGAAAATTTACTAGATAACTTGACTAGCATGCTGGAAAGAGTGCAAGCACTTTAGGGAGGGCCACAGTTTATGAACTAAGGAGGAATATTTCATTATATGCCTTAGCCAGGTCATGGTGGAGGCTAGGGCTAATAATAATACTACTATCAATGATGAATAGTAGACAGAATTTGTGATAATTAGATGTGAGTATAAGTAGAGTTAATTAAATAGTAATAGTTCTCTCATTTTATTTGCTAATAGCGAATGAACGGGGTTTTGGGGTTTTGGGGTTTTGGGG